GATTTATGATAAAATGCATGTAAAACTAATATTCTCCCATGTAAACTATCACGTAATCCACAATAAAACATTTAAAAAATAAAAATAAATAAAATAATTGTAGGCTTGATTACAAGTAAAATGTAACAAACTTTGCCACAATGCTGACCTTTGACCCAACTGCTGTCATCCCCAAAATGTGGGACCCACTCTGTTTACAAGTATATCCAGTGCTCCTATAGAAGTTAATGATTGTGGAATAGGCATCACTTTTTTTTCTGAATTAAAAATACATTCATTTGAACTAAAATAACTAGATTAATGGCCAAAAGAAATCGTTGTTATTAAATGCCATCAACTCATAGTGATCCTGCATAGGGTTTCCCAGGCTTTAAATCTTTACAGAAGCAGAAAGCTTCATCTTTCTCCTGAAGAGCGACTGGTGGGCTTGAACTACAGACCTTGTGGTTTGCAGTCCAGTACTTAAGAGTTATTGTAGAAATGGATTTTTCTCACTGTTAAAAGAAGCCAGAATTTCAAGGGACAGGGGTGTATATCTGTAGATGAACCTGAGTAATAAAAAATAAAGATACATATTATGTTGACTTTTTGGGTTTTAGAACTCTTGTATTGTTTTCTTTGAAGCTGAGGGTAGTTGGAAATCTTAGTTGAAACCCACTCCTGTCCCATAATGAAATCATTTCGATAGTGATTCACGATTGGCGTTAACTTTGGAACTTCTCATTAATCTGTTCATTCTTCTTGGTTATCTTACAGTGTAAAAGCTATATGTGGGCATGAAGAAAATTGTATCAAGACATCAAATTATACTTTCCCCCTTATTTGGATAAGCTGAACTAAAGACACAGATCTGGGTTTCTTTCTGTGACGGCTTGTATACTGTAGCTAAGGGTTAGTTGGCCTTGTCTCTGTGTCCTTTAGTGATGAACTAGTCTCATCTGCCAAGCTCAGTCTCACAAGAATATTGTAAGAATTTTAAATGTGGTTTTTAAAACAATAATCTTTTTATTAGAAAGTAAGCGTTTTATGTGAGTGAAATTGTTAGATTATAAAGATTATTGGTTTGCTGCAGTTATCCTAGGGTCCTGATGTGGCACTGTAGAACTGCTAACCACAAGGTCAGGAGTTCAAACCCACAAGCTGCTGCTTGCAAACCCTATGCAGTGTTGCTGTGAGTCTAAACCGACTCGACGGCATTTAACAACACCTTTAGCAATCTATGAGTTTGAACCACCAACCTTTCAGGTCAAACCGACCTTGAAGTCAAGTGCTTATCCTATAGCACCACTCCAGGACTCACGCCTATCGTATGACCCAACAATTACCCTTCTTGGTATTTATCTTAAAGATAGGAAAACTTAGGTGTGTATAAAAACATGATTGTTCATAGCAGCTCTATTTGTAATAGCCCCAAACTGGAAATAGCATTGAAACGTTCTTCAACAAGTAAGTGGACCTATTTACTCCTCAGCAGTAGGAAAGAATGAACCATTGATACACCGGCAGCTTGAGTGGATCTCAAGGCCATTATGCTGAGTGAGAAAGCTAATTTCATAAGGTCAGACACTATGGCTCCATTTACACAGCAATTGGAATGACAAGATTATAGTTATTGAAATGAGTAGCTGCTAGAGGTGAGGATTTGGAGTGTGGGAGCTGTCTAACCCCAAAGGGTAGCACAAGAATGATCTTTGTGTGGAAGGAACCATTGTGTATTTCAATGAGGATGCTGGTTATATCAATCTATATACATGTAATAACATTTCAGAAAACAATACACATGAAACTGTCAAATCTGAGTACAGTTTCTCTAGTTTTGTTAATAGTATTGTACCAATGTCAGTTTCTTCAAAAAGATGTCATCCACATCAACTTCTTGGTCACATAAGTTATTATTGCTGTGGGAAGCAGACATGAGAACTTTATACTATTTTCACTGCTTCTTGTGAGTCTTAAATTGGCAGCTGTGACTGGACGTCCCAGCAGTCAGGCCCAAGGCAGCTTCTTCTTCTGAGATTGGCCTGGGAGAGTCCGTGTTGGCTTTGAGTCCTGGTGGCTACTGGCTGTAAACAACCAGCTCCACTAACCTGGGAGGACTGGACTTCTGGTTGAGTGTTGGCAGATTGACTTCAGGTACTCTTTTCCTACTGAGAACACATTAAAATGATGGCAAAGGAATTGATACATTCATGTATATTATTGTGTGCTGGCAAGTCAGTTAGACTCATAGCGACCCTGTATAGGGTTTCTGAGGAGCAGCTGGTGGGTTTGAACTGCTGACCTTGCAGTTAGTAGTCCACTGGTTATCCTGCAGTGCCACACTAGGGCCACAATGCACTTCACTTGGCAAAACCCCATCCACTGCTGTGGAGTCGATTCTGACTCATAGCAACTCTATAGGACAGCATAGAATTGCCCCATAGGGTTTCCAAAGCTGTAGTCTTTATAGAAGCGGACTGCATCATCTTTCTCCCGCAGGTTAGCTGGTGGGTTTGAATCACCGACCTTTCACCTACCTAATCCACCCAATGATAACTCACTGTATCATCAGAGCTCTAGACAAAAGACCTAAACAAATCTTGAGGAGGAGGAGAGCATCCTGAAGGCCGAGGGCAAGTCCTTGCTCAAGATGGTACCAATCTGTGGTTGCTTGCCCGCTCCCCGCCAAGGTTCTCTTTCCTACAGCAGCTCCTTTCTGCTTGGTAGGCGTTTAATCTTAGGATGCGTTGAATCAGAGGGATCTGGTCTTAGAATCATCAGCCGAAGGTGAGGAGATGAGACTTAGAAGACAATGGACCAGTGAGGAGTGAGATTCCCAGTCCTTCCTGACTCTTGTTCTCAGAGAGAGTTGATCACCTGATCACTGTGACCCTCCCTCCAACCAGTGATAAGAAATTAGGGACTTCTTTCCAGGACCTGCCCAGTCAGTTAGCCTAATACTGTTTCTACCACACCCACTGCCATCGAGTCCATTCTGACTCACAGCAACTCTGCAGGACAGGAGAACTGCTCCTTGAGGCTTCTGAGACTGTAAGTCTTCATGGAAGCAGGTAGCCTCCTCTTTCTCCCATGAGTGGGTTTGAACCTTCAACCTTGCAGCTGTTAGCAGCCCAGTGGTTAACCCACTGTACCACCAGGGCTCCTGGTGTCACTGTTATAGAATTACCATTTTACCTCCTGCTTACCATCAGCTAGCAGTGCCTGGGGTCTTAAAAGCTTGCCATGGCCATCCAGGATAGAACAGCTGGTATCTGTTCGCCTGGAGCAGCAGAGGAAGAAGAAACCCGGAAGAGGAAGTGAACAGTGGTCTTATCGCCTCCATCAACAACCACCTCAGTTGCATTGAGATCAGAAGAATGAGATAGTGCCCCGCTACTAAACTGAATGTTCCGATCAAGAATCCAAGAGATGAATCCTGATCAAAAAGAAGAAAAACATGAAAGAGAATTTCAAATTCTGGTAAAAACGAGACTTTCTAGACTCCTTGGTACAGGGTGAAACCCCAAAGCTACTACCCAGTAATGGCAACGAGTCATCCTTAAGCTATGAACTGAGACTCTCCCTGAAGCCATCTCTAAAGTAAACAGCAGTTTAGCTCAATTCAGAAAGAATGTTTGCCTTCAGCAGTGTACTCTAAGAATTATCTGTATGTGATCAAGTGGATAATAGTAACTCTACCACGGGAGGAGAAGAGTAGGGGACCGGGAGCCTTCATTTAACTGATGAGCTTACCAGTGTGTGGAGTGGAGCTGGTGAGACAATTTCAAGTATGTAACCTGTGTCATTGAGCTGTACATAAGTTATGTCTATTTAACAACAAAAATTGCAGAAAATTCTCTGGAGAAACCTAATGCCCTGGTTTCTGTAGTGTGGCTAGTTCCTCAATGGGCTGTCCAGTCCATCAGTAAAGCCCAGTAGTGAACAAAGGCACCCTGTGGACACACCCACACACTTCTAGCCAGCATTTTGGGGCTCTGCTTTTAAATGTTGTTGTTGCTGTTAAGTGTTGTCAAGTTGGTTCCAATTCATAGTGAACCTTGTATAGGATATTCAAGGCTGTAAATCTTTGTGGGAACAGAAAACTTCTTCTTTCTTATGGGGAGTGGCTGGCTGGTGGGCTTGAACTGCCATACTGTGGTTCACAGTCCAATGCTTATCCTACAGAGCCACTGCACCCCCTTTACTTCTAAATACCAACTGACAAATAGGGACCACCAGACGTTTTAGGAAAGGCTCCAACATGAAAACTAGAGGAACATCAAGTCATAAGAAGAAATAACCAGGTAATATGGGAACTGGAAGAAACCCTCCAAAACCTAATTACTGCATTCAGATAAAAGATGATAATGCATCAATAAAACAAAAATAGGATGCCTTTTTAAAAAAAAGCACCATTAAGAAACTTGAACACATTCTTGGAAATTAAAGGTGGGATGTCAAAAGTTTAAAAAAAAAAAAAAAGTTTAATAGGAGAGTTAGAATGTAAAGTTGCGGATATCTACTTCAAGATACAGGACAAAAAGACCCAGAGTGGTCAGTGAGAGAGAAAAAAAGGTAAAATGATAAGAGCATAAATCTAGGATATTTAAAATCCTAGTTTGAGTTCCAGAAAGAGCAGAGAGGCAAGAAATCTAATAGGAACTTTTTTTTTTAGACCTGAAGGACATAGTCTTCCCTATGGATATGGTCCACTGAGTGCCCAATAAATTAGATTTAAAAGTACACTGAGACAGACCATGAACACAGTCTCGGAACAAGAAACCAAGAGAAAATACTTTCAGAGATAAGCAAACAAGTCCCCCTTGCCCTCCCCAAAAAAGTCAGCTACAAAGGAAGAAGAAATGAAAATTGAATGCTAAAGACTATGGAGCAGTCTCTTAAAAATTCTAAGCCGAAATCATTTCCTATCTATAATCTTCTCCTCAGCAAAAGATCAGATGTCAAGCTAATAAGGAGAGTGCAAACCTAGGAGACCAGAGAGGGGGCAGCAGGTCAAGAGCATGGCCGACTGGGACACGGGCCATACTGAACAGGAGGTCTTGGGAAAAAGGGACCGCAAGATCTGCTGCTCGTTATGTATATTTGAAAGATAATATTGATTACCAGTGATAGATCTGAATGAAACACATGGAAGGAAAAAAATTAAAGTGAGTACACAGAAAACTAAGCAAGGGGACAAAATAGGAATTATTAATCCCAGGCAAAACAAAAATGCTGTGCCAAGGAAGAAAATATAATTCTTAATACATTCCTTGAATTGTGATGACCAATACTTACAAAGTCATGAAACATATTCACTGACTGTTGGTTTACTAAAACATCATGGGGGGGTCTAAGACCAGCGAAGGGAGAGAGTGATATAATGAAATAACGCCTCATCCACCAGAGCGGAAAGTCAGCTGTGGAGTGCCGTTGAGTTGGGTCCTATGCAGGGTTTCTGAGGAGCAGCTGGTGGGTTTGACTTGCCAGCCTTGCACCTTAGCAGTCCAATGCATACATATCGTACAGTGAGCCTTTATCACTATTTGATGAGTGAACATCCTATAGTCTCTGCTATGGGCAGAGAACCAACTCAAGGGCACTTAGCAACAACAACATAGTCTCTCTAGGATTCCTGGTGTGGCACTGTAGGATAAGCACTGGACCACAAGGTCAGTTTGAACCACAGGGTTGGTGGTTCAGACCCACCAACTACTCCTCGGAAAGACTCTACAGGGTCCCTATGAGTCAGAAGTGACTCGACAGCACATAGCAACGGCAGTCTCTCTATATGCCCAATTCATAATATAGAGACTATCCTGAAGAGTACATGTGTAAAGTCCCTGCCTCTTTGAGTGTTGGGTAGTTTATCATTCTTTTTATTGTCTTGTCATCCACAGACCAGGCACAGCTTGGGAAAGGTGGCACTGTGCCATCATTGGCCTATTTGAGGGATTCATCGATCATGAAATCAAGTACGTGCACCCACTGTGTGCATGAGTACATACACCCGCGTGTGTTTCCAGTCGAGAAGTTGGAGCACCAGAGGAATGATTTGTTTTCTCTACTTAAGAGTTCAGATATTTACGTTTAGACCAACATTCTAAATAATTGCATGTCTTGTATTTGTCTCTGTATTCATGTTTTTCTAATGATACAGGAAAGACAGTTTTAAAAACGAAAACTAATTGAAAACAAAACTTCAGTAGGAGAGTGCAAACCTAGGAGACCAGAAAGGGGGCAGCAATATTTCTGCTGAAATATTGCCCCATGAAATTCATGAGGGGGAAACTGTGTCTTCGCACCCACCACTGTGTGCTCAGGGTATTTATTCACTCTATGTTGTTGTTGTTGTTGTTGTTATTGTTATGTGCTGTCAAGTCAGTTCCGACTCTTAGCGACCCTGTTTAAGGTTTCCGAGGAGCAGCTGGTGAGTTTGAACCTGCCACCTTGCAGTTCAAACCAACCTTGAGGTCGAGTGCTTATGATACCATATCAGGACTCCTAGTAGGTGGGAAAATTTCATTGTCTCTTAATTTCATTTTTCCACAAACTTTTTGAAGCCCCTTTGTCCTTCATGAATAAAGGAGCCCTGGTGATGCAGTGCATTACAAGCTGGACTGCGAACTGAAAGGTCAGCAGTTTGAATCTACCAGCTACTCTGTGGAGGAAAGATGAGGCTTTCTGCTCCCGTAAAGATTAACAGCCTCTGAAGCCCTATTCAGGGTCGCTGTGAGTCAGAACCGACTCAGTGGCATACAGTCACTACCACCAGGGAAGAGGAGAACTGGTGTTACCACAAGATTATACCAGGTTTGAACCCACAAACAGGGTCAACAGTTCAAACACACCAGCTGCTCCTCCTCGGAAAACCTATACAGGAACATTATGAGTCAAAACAACTCCACAACACTTAACAACAGCGGGGGATATGCCAGTTGTTAAGTGCCGTTGAGTCCGTTCCAAGTCATAACAACCCTGTATAGGGTTTCTGAGGCTTTTAGTCTTCATGGGACCAGAAAGCCTTGTCTTTCTCCCACGGAGTGACTAGCGGACTCGAACCTCTGACCTTGTTCTCCCATGGAGCAGCTGGTGAGTTTGAATCCCTGACTTTGGTTCACAATCGAGCATTTTTAACATTGGCATCCATTGCTTTGTAGACTGGACTGTTCAGCATACATAGGTCGCATCGACAAAAATCCTAAAATTTTTGGCTCATTAATTGTATTCGTTTGTTCTTGCTTTGTTTTTCAGAATGTTATGGAACAGTTCAATCCTGGGCTGCGAAATTTAATAAACCTAGGAAAAAATTATGAGAAAGCTGTTAATGGTAAGTCTGTCTGTTTTCTAAATATATAAACACAAAGCAGTATGGACACTGTTCACTAAATACTTGCATTATTTTCATATGCTTTAAAAATATTTCATAGACTTCTTAAAATATCTGTAAATATGTTGCAATGATTTACAATTTAAAATAGACCTTTGCAATGATAGAATGGTAGTGCATTTGAAATGAGCAAATTGAATCATTGCCATAAGCAATGATACTTTTAAACCAACTTCTTGTGAACTAATAATAAATATATTGTAAATGCATACTTAAAATACTTGGTTTACATACAGTATTTTGGAGCATAAGAATTGTTTTCCTTTTGTTTATATGAAATTTTGGGCCTTTGTGTGATTTTTCTGGTAATAAATGATCTTTTTAGCCTGAATGGTAAAATACCAAATGCAAGGCTGACCTTAGATTCTCATGTCAAAATGTAAGTGTTCAGGCAGACTTCATTTGAAGAAGCTAACACCTGTCTGTGTATCTGCATTCCCACAGTGAAAGGTGAGTGCTGTGGGCATCAGTGATTGGTGACCTAGGAAACAGAAAATGTTTTCAGTCACCAGATCCTACTGTGGGCACAGCAGTTCTCCCTGTGTTGGTAGTGTGACCCCTGTTTCACCCTCCATCCCAGTTCCCACATGCGAACATAGGTTGACATTGGGGTTCCCAGCCATTGTAGATCTGAAGAAGCGCTCAGGTCCAGCCGTGCACCTTTTGCATGCCTCTTACTTCTCCCTCTCCCCACCCCTTACTGTGAACTGCTCCTTGTTGGTATTCTGAAAACTACCCCATGGATTCACATGCCCTTCAAGTGCACCTGCCCAGGATGATGGATAGACGTTGGATGATGGGCATGTGACTGTAGCCACCAGAAAGTAAACTGTGTTGGATGTTTTGTCCGGATTGCTGGGTTATTTCCAGAACTTGTCGGTATCAGGACCCACAGCAGACCAGGGAATTCCCTCCCCGGCTGCGTCCCAGCTCTGCGGCCCCTGACTTGCCCTTGATGATGACTTCGTCACAAGGCCACTGCTCTGGACGTCCCTGGGAAGGACATTACTGTGACCCGCAGGGAGTTTTTCTTTCTATTCTGGGCTGAGTTTTCACAACGTGAGTCACCCACCGAGCTGAGCTGCCCGCAGCTGAGCTTCCTGCTAACGTGGCATCTCTCCAGACGACTCCCTACCACACCCTTGGGTTCTTAACACTTTGACACCTCCTGGGGAGTTATTCTGCAGTCCATAAAGTATACCCGGAATTTCCGTGGACTGTTTGTTATACTTTTACTGAGGTCATCAAAAATTGAGATAAATTGGTAAAGTTCTTTTATATGCCTGGGAGATGTAGTCTGCTCTGAAACACGAGGCCTCTGAGAATTTGCAGTACCTGGCTCCTCACTTAACAACATCGTTAAGCTCCAGAGGACCGAGTCGTTATGCAAAAATGGAAGATGCCCACATCAGATCACAAAATGCAGGATAACTGTATCATGACATAGCTACCAAAAATCACCTTTACATAAGTATCAAATTGCATCATTTCATAACTGCCAAACCACTGAGAATCTAGCCCAATCAACTTGCCACATCATCTTAACCATCAAAGCCAGCGTTACTCTCCCCTCGGTGTTCCTTACTGCTGGGCGGACACGTTAAATGTGCAAAATAGTCGGACATTAGGGTTCTTTTTTTACTGTTGTCCTAAACGTGAAATGTCAGATAACAAGATAGTCAATAAGAGAGGAGTAGTAGGTTCATAGTTGAAGATTCCAGATATACAATCAGCAGTTAAGTTAAAACACAAGGCAGTATATGAACGGCTAACTGGCCAGCATGACAGAAACTGAAGCCATGGAGACCAGTGAGGAATGGAGCTGAGCTAGCTGGCAGGTGTCCGACTTTAGCAGGCAGACACTGCATAGGCTTGGAGAGAAGCTGTTGGGTGGGGAGTAGTAAGACTAAAGATGGGATAGTGTCATTGGAGTCATGGTGTGGTGCTGAGGGTTAATGTGCTGGGCCCCAAAGTCAGTTTGAACCTTAAGGTTCGTGGTTCAAGCTCACCACCCACTCCTCTGAAACCCTATACAGGGTCATCGTGAGTCAGAACCAATTCAATGGCACTTAACAGCAACAAAGGGTCACATTATAAAGCGTCTTAAGCTGCATTAGCTGTCTGTTCCTGCATAACAAACTGTCCCCAACAATTTATAATTTCATGACCAGGACCTTCTTTAGAGTCCTTGGGACGCATTCCTCCTACTGCAGTTAGCCAGGGCCTGGACAGAACTGATAGTCAACTCATGCTCTCCCTACAGGGTCTTTCCAACTTCAAGGAACCCAGACTAAGGTACTCAGAGGATGGTAGCAGTGTTCCAAGAGTGCGTGCCCCAATGCCACAGCACTTACCACATTTCTGTAGGAGTCATGTTTGCTGATGTCCCACTGGCCAAAGCAAGTCACATGGCCAGAACTGCAGTGTAGTAGGTGGCTAGGGATTCTGGGAGGTTTTGTTCCTAGAAGGCCAGTAACTGTGAAAATCTACCACCAGCTCTGAAGAGTGTGGACTTGCTCTATTGGCAGTAGGAGGCCAGTGAAGAGCCGTCTCCCAATGAAATAGTGTTTTAAGGGAAATTTCTCTAGAAGAAGTATGTAGATAAGATTGAAGTAGCTAATCAACCATGAAAATGGAACTATGATGTGTCATTCCATTCCTTAAATCAATTAGTAGTAGACAGTCTCTTAATGGTTTTACAGACGGGAATAAAATTATGAAAACATTTGTTCTCTATTAGTTTTGAACGAATTATGTATTTTTAAGTGAATTCAGCTGTATTATAAAAAAAAATAAGATATAGTGGGCTTCAAAAAGTTCATGGAAAAATGGAGGCAAAGATAATGAACTTTTCTCACGAATTGTTTGAAGTCCCCTCGTATTTTACTAAACTAATATGGTTAGTTTTAAATGTAAGATAATGAAAAATGTCCATGTTATGGCTACATGATAATCACAAGTGTTATTTATGTGTTGTTCAATCCTTCATACCATTCTCCCACAAATATGCTTCAGACTTATCAGTGCCCTGTGAATTTCAGTCTTCACTGGATGTTGTTGTTAAGTACCATTGAGTCGGATCCAACCCATAGTGACCCTATACAGGGTTTCCAAGGAGCGACTGGTGAGCTTGAACCGCCAACCTTGCAGTTTGTCGCATTAACCCACAGCACCACACCAGGACTTCTCTTCACTGGATAGAGGTCTTGTTTTGGGGCGAAGTCATCCCTTTCTCAGTTGTAGATGAGACCAAAGGTTGAAAAAGCACCAGCATTAGGGTTGAGGAAGTTCCTCCACCAGAGTGTGTACACTCCACTCTGAGTCACTGCCGGACTTGGGCGTGTACCGCAGAATCTCCAGTTCTCCTCCCATGAAGCACGGTGATAACATCACCCACAGGGTCTTAGGATCCTCAGATTAACCAAGTAGTGACCTGGAAGCTCTCCATGCATACTAATTACCACTGCACTTTGTATTTTTTCAGGTGATCCCCAGTCTTACACAATAACAGCATAGCATCGCATCCTATTCCTAAACAAGTGTTCACAAATGGCAACAGCCACAGCCCTGATTATTTCTTAAACTGCAGTTAGTGTTAGATAGATAAATAGATGGATGTCATGTGACGATTTCCTAAGCTGGGGCCTGCAGTACTTTGAGCTGGAGCTGTTTGGGAATTCATTTCCACTCTCGCCACTGCAGGACCAGGGAAGGCTTTTGAGCAGACCAGTTACTCAGCGAAATAGCTTTTTAAGGAATACTTAACCTGGGCAGAAATATACGGATTATACTGATGAAGTTGTTGATCCACCATTAAAAATCGAACTAACATGTTTCCTTTCACGCCTTAAAAACAATAGGTGGTAGATAATCTCTTATGCCTTGTAAAATCCACCTGTTTGGAAGCAGTACCCATGACCCACTAGGGCAAAGCAACTGTGGTTTCTAGGTTTCTTCTCAGTGAAAGGAGGGAATAGGACTTGGGGCTTCTACATGTGAAACCAGTCTTTGAGTGAAACTGAATGAAGCATTTTCTCACAAACTACACTAAAATAGGCTAAACTGGGTCTTGTTGGAAAACTTACTGGACATATGCCTTCAGTCTAGCTGTTTGAAGTAAAATAAAGATTTGGCATTAGCAGCTACCATGTGTCCACTCAAACTGCACTTTATTACAGACTCTATAGGTAAGGTACCTTTCTTTCAGAAAGTCTGAATATCTCACCCCCTGCCCCCACCCCAGGCCATGTAGTTAGAAGTAAAGGTAGAACTCAGACTGAGCTCTGCCTTGTCCCCCACCCCCAGAAAAGACAAGAAATCAAAAGCAGATTTTTGCCCCTTAGTATTTAGTTTTCCAAATCAGTTTGAAAGGAGAAATATTATTTTTAGATAACTGTACACCCAACCAATGTGGCAGTCAAAAGCACCCTGTCTCTGCCCCACCCACAAAAGAAGTAGCACGTTCAGTTATCTTTCCTGAAAACTGTCTTGTTTTTTGGAATGGTAATCAGTTTCAGAGTTCATTGACTTTTCTCCTAACAGCAAGGATGCCAGTTGTTTGTGACTCAGGGTGCAGTCTGTAGAAAGAACTGAGGCCGCCGCGTTCCTTAGTGGAGGGTACCTGCAGTCCTGGGAGAGGTTAGGACTGCTGCAGCCGCTCGGGAGCTGCCATCAACACAGGCAGGGCTTTCTCTGCCAAAGGCTGCTCCCTGGTGGAGGTCCTATGGGGGTCTCCATTGCAGCCCCATCCTCCCTAGCCTTGTTTAAGTGACAGTTTTTTTGTCTGTTATCTTTGTGTCTAGCTATGATCCTGGCAGGAAAAGCCTACTACGATGGAGTGGCCAAGATCGGCGAGATGGCCACCGGGTCGCTCGTGTCCATGGAACTGGGTAAGCCAACCTGTCCACTGTGTATAAACCCAGCAGGGCACTGGCAGGGATGCCTGAGATTGCCCACCCTCTGCTGTGAGGACAACTGCTCAGTGTGCTATGGATTGTTGAGCTCCCTGAGGCTGCCATGGGGAGGGGCTGTAGGTGGAGGTCCTTTGGGCACTGGCCTCTGCCCCTGGGGCCCTGCAAGTCTTGCCCCATGTTCTTCCCTGAAAGAGGCACACCTTAGGCCTCCAGACATGCCCGGATGTCAGGAGGGTTTCCCGTGACTCACCTAGCAGAAAAGCAGACTCTATGTCCTTCTTGTCACTCAGCTGTGCTTTTCTGGTTCTGCTGGTCTGAATGGGGCTTCCTGTGCAGACACGGGGCAGCACACCCTGGCTCCCGGCCCGCAGCCCTGGAGCCCAGCTGCAGGAGGGACCGAGTCAGTGTGCTGTGACCACCTCTGGGAGGTGGCTGCCTTGTCTAATAGCCCCACACAGAGCCCTCATTTCAAACAGCAGCTACAAGTATGTTCATGCACAAAGGGTGACACTTCTAGCTAACCATTGTTCATTCTGATTCAAAAGGTTCCTGAAACCCAGAGGAAAAGAAAGACCCCCCCACCCACCTCCCTGTGTGTGTGTATGTGTAAGAGAGTGTGAGTGTGTGTTAGTGTGTATGTATGTAAAAGTATGTGTGCAAATGTGTATGTAAGAGTGTGAATGGTGTGTGTGTGTGTATGTATGTGTGTGTATGAGTGTATACATGTATGAATGTGTATTTGTGAGTGTGTATATGTGTGTATGTGTGTGCATGAATGGTGTGTATAAGAGTGTTTTTATACGTGTATGAATGTGTGTGTGTTTGAGTATATATAATAGTATGCATGTGAGTATTTGTGAATGGATATGTGTATGTTTAAGAAACATGTCTCTCCCGTCAGAAAAATGGGGAGGGAAGCAAAGAAAGAATGTGAGTTGAAACAACTCAGGCCATTCATATAGAAAGCATTTTGAGGGATTTTCATGATGCCTTAGAAAACTCTTCACTGGCCCACAGAAGCCAAAGACCCAATGAAAGGTGTGTGTGGTAAAGGGGATCAGGGGGCCACGGCCTGGCTACGGTTTTGGGGCGCGTTCTTCAGGCATGTTTATGCTGGAATCACGTATAGAGAGTCTGGAGTCCTACACACTGGCACACTCTCACACACACATATGCACGCATACACACTGTGATGAGCACCCCACCACAGCTCCTTGTTCTGGACTCCGATGTTTTCCAAAGTCTTAACTTGTGCTTTGGGGGGTGCCATGGACTTCGGGTGTTTGGGGAAGGGCTGAGCTGAATTAGCACTCAGCTCTGAGTTCGATCGATATTGTTATGCCACAGAAGCAGATGCAGAGATGATGATAGGTTTCCAAAAATAGGACCAAGTTCAAAAGAAACAGCCTATTTGTGTCAAGTACTGGAGGGGAAAAGAAAAAAGGTCTGGCCCTTCACACGAAAACATATGGCGCTCTGACTCAGGGTCATCTGGGGTGCCCTTTAAAGTTTTATGGTTCTTGTCACTGTTTAAATAAGACCTATTCTCTTAAGCAGCTCCACACCTCACTTTATTCAGCTGTGAGTTCATAATGTTGAATCAACTCTTTCCATAGCAACACTGTTGTTAGAAACATGGGCTTAAAGCTTCAGTCTCAAGAAGGAAAATCTGTTGCCATGGGAAAATTTCTTTCATGTGGATGCGTATTTTATTCAGAGAGGGTGCAAATACCCTCTCTGAATAAATACCCGCTTTGCTTTTTCTCTTATCTTGTCCTGTTGCCTCTATTCCTGTCTCTACCCAAACCCCATTGCTTGCCGGGTTGATTCCAGCTCATGGCCACCCCATGTTTTCTCACCTGTAACCTTTTTAGTTGTCTTGAAACTTCTGTTGCAGTTTGGGTGTAAAATTTATAGAGCACGTTATTTCCCCATTCATCAATTCAGAGACGTTTTGTTTTGTGTCATTGGTTCCATCCCCTCTATATAAGCAACCCCTTTTATCTTGTTGGTTGATTTACTGAACTGTGCATTCCTCCCTGACTGGAATCTTGACAGAAAGTCAGATCTTTTGTAGCACTTGTGAATCGGTTCAAACCGCTAACTAAGGTTGTCGTGTGCCATCAAGTGAATTCTGGCTCATAGTAACTAACATACAGGGCTGACTAGGACTGCTCTACATACAGAGTTTTCATGGGAGCAGATCTCCAGGTCTTTCGTCCCTCAAAACCACTTGCTAGGTACCATCTAGTCAGTTCTGACTCACAGTGACCCTATCCCGCTCTTAGAACTGTTGTCACGTTTGAGCCAAAAGTTGCAGCCACTGTGTCATTCCATCTCATAGGGGTGTCTTCCTCTTTCGCTGACCCCCTACTTTACCAAGTACGATGTCCTCCATGGACTCTGACCAAGGCACGTGAACCACTGAGTAGATTCAAGCCACCAGTCATTGAGTTAGCAACCAAGCGCTTAACCACTGCCCCACCAGGGCTCCTTCCAACCTTACTCACTGAGTGCAGGCTGTTAGCACCATGCAGGGCTCTATAGTCATATCTCCTATATAGTTCCGAATCGGCTGCTCTCATCTGCAGCAACTTAAGGACAAAAGGATTTTCCAGTAGAGTTACTTTCTGGAGGCCTACAATTAAGTTATTTTTATTTGCTTAGTTAGCTTGTTGTTGTTAAAAGCGGTGGCTGAACTCTGTTTCAGTTCTCTACATACAAGAGTGGAGTCCTGGTGCGGCAGTGCATATGGGTTAATGCGCTGGACTGTAAGGTCAGTTTGAGTGACAAGGTCAGCTTTCAAGCTCACTAGCCGTTCCTCAGAAACCCTATATAAAGTCACTATGAATCAGAGCCGACTCTATGGCACTTAGCAACATATACAAGAGTAAGGGTAACACACAGAAGAAGACCTCAGATGGATGATGCATTTGTCTCATCTTACAAGAGAACTTTATCTACTTACTACCTCTGGCACAGGTACATATTCATAGCTTCAACACAAAACTCGTGTTGTAAATTCCACCTGACCAAACCGAAGGGGTGTTACACAAGTGAAAATCATGGAATCATTTCAAACTTTTCATCGTTTCATTGTCCCTGAAAAAAAAAATCGTACATTTTCCCATTTAAAAGTCCTCTCATTTTCAGGTTTTTCCATCTAGACTTTTGGCTCTGGAGGGACGAGGGATGCTGCTGCAGAATTCTTATCATTTTGAAAACTTCTGTTTATGGGAGTAGTCTTAGTCTTTTTTTCACTGTGCTGAAAATCTGCAGAACCAAACATCTCAGCAATTTCTACACAGACACTTCAATGACATTGGCTGCACTCTTCAGGTTGTGTAACCATTCTTGTTGCCCTTTCTTAAATCAGCGCCAGAACCTAAACCCAGTGCCCCTAAGCAAAAACTCCCTCTTTCTTGCCACCCCTCCCCTGCTCCCCTGGTGACGCCAATCTTTGGTTTCTGTATATTTGCTTATTTCATATGCTGTCTGTCCTTATTCACTCAGCATGACTGTTTCCTAGGTGCATCTATGTTGTGCTGTGCCCCAGGACTTCATTTCCCCATGTGTGTGTTGTTAAATGCCATCAAACCCGTTCTGACACATACAGACCCTGGACAGTATATGCCACTTTTGGGGATTTTTTTCTGTCCCTGGATATTAAGTTGTTTCCACCTTTTAGCTGTTGTGAAAAGTACTGCAGTGAGCAGTAGCAGACAGTTTGTGTGCATTTCTGCCTTCACTTCTTCTGGGCTTAGTGATTGGGTCTTGGTTTAGTGCCGTAGACTAAGCACTGCACTGTTAGCTGCAAGGTTGATGGTTCAAACCCGCCAGCCACTCCTCGGGAACCCTATACAGAGTTGAAATCGACTGAACATTAACAACATCAGCAATGTACCTAGGATTAGGATTGCTGGGTCGTGCTCCTTGGAAGCCAGGATGGCCAAACTTCATCTCTTATACTTTGGACATATTGTCAGGAGGAACCAGTCACTGGAGAAGGATAATCATGTTTGGTAAGGTGGAGGGTCAGAGAAAAAGAGGAAGACCCCCAGTGAAATGGATTGGCACAGTGGCAATAATTGTGAGGTTGGCCCAGGACCGGGCAGCATTTCACGTTCTGTAGTGAGTCGGCATCTACTCAATGGCACTTAACAACACATGTTAGTTCTATGTTCGGTTTTGTGTGGAGCTACCAGACGTTCCCACCAGTGCCTCCACAACCTCACCAGCACCATTGTTTGCCATCTTTTGATCTTTGCCATTTTAACATGGGTTGTTGTTGTTGTTAAGTTCTGTCGAGTCCATTCCAACTCATAGCAACCCTGTATAGGGTTTCTGAGTAGCAGCTGGAGGGTTTGAACTGCTGATCTGTGGCTCACCTTCCAGTGCTGATCCTACAGTGCCACACCAGGAGTCCTTAATGTGGGTGAGGTGATAGTATCTCATGGTAATTCTGATGTGCATTCTCCAACAAGAGTCATTTTTGTCTTAATGTTGAGTAATGTTGTTGTGCGACACCCAACTGTTTTTTCATTTCATATCTACCTTGTACATGAAAATCATACTTATTTACTTTGGCGGTAGGTCAAGAAAAGATCCTCTGGGTATAATACTTAATTTCACAGAAATCTATAGTGATAATTCAGCTTGGGAACATAGGCCAAACGTATTATAAATGTCAGTCGGCGGTGGCGAAGCTAAACATTTCTATTTCTTCCCACTTGAAAAAGAAGGGGAGAGAGAGAGAGAGCTAAGAGCTCTCTCCAGCCCATGGAGAAGGATATCATGCTTGATAAGGCGGAAGTCAGTGAAAAAAGAGGAAGACCCCCAACAAGATGGACTGACACGGTGGCTGCAACAATTAGGAGGAGGGGACTCAAATGTAACGACACTTGTGTGGATGGCGCAGGACCAGGCGTGTTTTGTTCTGTTGTGCAGAGGACCACTGTGTTGGACCCAACTCGACG